TACGCCATCGTGGCTGCTGGCTGTTCAGAGGCGTGCCTAGCATAAACCAATCACACTGTACGACACATACCGATAGGAACCAATTTGCGTTTGTATGATTGCGTTCAACACTCATGAAAGCAGCGACACGTACACGTGCGTGCGTGTGCACGTACACGTGCATGCGTGCGTGCGTGCATGTGCACGTGTGCGTGCGTGTGTGTGCACGTACACGTGCGTGTGTGCACGTACACGTGCGTGCGTGCGTGCGTGCATGTCACGTACACGTGCGTGCGTGCGTACGTACACGGGCGTGCGTGCGTGCGTGTGCACGTACACGTGCGTGCGTGCGCACGTACACGTGAGTGCGAGCATGTGCACATGTGCGTGCGTGTGTGTGCACGTACACGTGCGTGCGTGCGTGCGTTTGTACGTACACGGGCGCGCAGGCACGCGTGTGCCCGTACACGTGCGTGCGTGATTGCATGTGCACGTGTGCGTGCGTGTGCACGTACACGTGCGTGCGTGCGTGCGTTTGTACGTACACGGGCGCGCGTGCGTGCGTGCGTGCGTGCGTGCGTGTGCACATACACGTGCGTGCGTGATTTGCACGTGTGCGTGCGTGCGCACGTACACGTGCGTGCGTGCGCGTGCGTGCGTACGTACACGTGCGTGCGTGCGTGTGTGCGTGCGTGTCACGTACACGTGCGTGCGTGCGTGCGTGCGTGTCACGTACACGTGCGTGCGTGCGTACGTACACGTGCATGCGTGTGTACGTACACGTGCATGCGTGTGCACGTGCGTGCGTGCACGTACACGTACGTACGTGTGCACGTACACGGGCGTGCGTGCGTGTGCACGTACACGTGCGTGCGTGCTTGTGCACGTGTGCGTGCGTGCTTGTGCACGTGTGTGTGCGTGCGCACGTACACGGCTAACTACGAACTCGCTTATAACGAAACAAGCTATGAGAGAAGAAGCGTCAAAGGCGCCGCCTGTCTGTGTAGTATGGTAATTATTTATTTATTTTTAGTTGAGTAGTAATTTTATAATGTTTTCTTAATAAAATAATGTATGCTGCGGTATGTTGGAAACACCTGCGGAAATTTCGAGTGGTTTACGGCACCTCGTCAGCTCGTGTAAAGTTACGCAAAGGTCTACGTAAATTTTAGCTTGATGAATCGCACCTAAAACGGCCTCGCTTGCGTACGCGAAATCGTACGCAAATTTACTGAATAGCTGTGTTGGTGAATCGCAACTAAGCAACGTCGATTGCGTACACAAGATTTAGGCAAAATATTTTGCGTACGCAGCTTGATGAATCTACCCCCAGGTGCCCTTTTGTACAGCCGCGCGACTATTATACTTGGCTATTTAGTATAATATGTGTAAAAATAATAAATAACCAATTTTCAGTGGTTTAATGATTTTTTATTTAATGAAAGTGGAGTACTGTAAATTATTGATACGTCTGACGGACTTTCTGCTTGGAAATTACGAAGGTCTGAGCATTAAATCGGCAGGTCCAGGACCACGGACTTGCCCTATTTTCAGCCCCATGATTTCCTATTCATAGTTCGTTTGTACCTTTTGACAACTTGAAAAAATGATTCAAGAGTCTCATATAACGTGTTCAGAATAGCTTAGAATGCAAAAAACAACAAACCAAATCCAAATTACACCTTTTTTTCCCGGCGGTGCATGCCCCCGGACCCCACTAGCATGGCGATCACCTTCGGTGCTCGCATTGCTCGCTCTTCGGATTGTGCAACCACCAAAAAAAGATTTACCACCTCGCTGACCTTTTTGGCCAGGGGAAACACTGTAACTGCAAAGTTATGGCGTATGAGCCTGAATGCAAACGAAAGCTGAATGTAAAATTGCCAATTAACACTGTACCTTTACTTTTCTTTTTCGGCACAGGTGTTTTGGTCTGACTGGACTCCTTGTTTTCTTTCGAGGATTCATCATTGTCAATCAAAGGTTGCTGCTTTGTTCTCGCAGGCTAAACATAACAAGGCATCAGTATCAGCAGCACTCGATTTTTAGAAAACACATGCACACACGGGTTAGAGCTGGGGTGTTGCTAGTGTTAGTTAGAGGTGCATGGTCACACATCAGACAGCAATCACAAGCCAACACGATGGTGTCGTTAGGGCCTGTATGCAATGCCATCCTGGACAGCTAGCACATTGAAGGATAGAATTTTGAGGACACTGCATACCCTCCCCTGATCACCTAAACGGTTAGCATTGTCGTGACTGTTTTCAACTTTCAGAGATATTTCTTATACAATCTGCGATATAGTACTGCAAGGACAGATTCACTGAAATGATAACCCTCACACAAAATTGTCATGAATGTCAACTCTCGAATTATGCTTATAATGCTGGCCAAATTATCTGAAATTAATTGCAGTGAGGGCCGACTATGTGCATTCCATGAAAATTTACCAATGAATATCTACCAAATGCTACCCATTAAGTTTAATATATATATATATGTACTAAAAATTTGTACTATTTCTGTGGTATGTCCACAGGTGTTAACTTATAGTGCAGCAGACATTTAAAAAACACATGAAATTATCAACCATAAACATAAACATCGGTTTGTTTAACACCATGAATACACAGATCTATTACGTATTTATTAGCTTCAGCCTGTGCACACTGCAAAGCAATATGACCGAAAGCATAAAAAATGAACAAATCTATGAGCGCTTTCTAATTTGACATTGCAATGCAACGCTGCTACTTTTCGTCTGTAAACCTATATAATTAAATAGCTCTAGCTGACCTTGAAACGAAATTCGGCAACAAACCAGCTGAGATATCTGACAAAACATCACAAATTCTAAAGTAACAATATCTACAATTATTCAAAGTTCTCGGCAGGGATTTCAGAAGGTATGTTGTTTATGGACGGACGGGGGAATGCCCACAAGGAGGTTGTACCAATTGGAGTCAATTACGTGTGTCATAAAAGGCACCAATACACAGGTACACACATTTGATTAGTTCGGAGACGTATACATTAAACTGCGACAACACAGCACGACTATTGGTATTATCAAAAGTAAACACAGCTGGAAATTAAGGCATATTGATTAGGCAACTATTGCATGTCAGAGGATTAACGGACGTTACAAAATAGCTTCAGCATTGAAAGCATCTAGTAAAGGCGTGGGGAGAACCCGTGCGGATAGACCTCGCAACAAAAGGCCTATATAGAGGGTTCCGCGAATTTTCAAATTACTGACAATGCATCGCTGCCGGCCATGACGGTTCCAGAAACCAGTTCAGGCATGGTACAAGTACATTGAGCAACGCACTGTTCTCTGCTCATTTTATTCGCCTATTAAGCAAATCCATCACAACGCCGCTCTCCTCGGTGTTGTCAACTGCAGCAATCGGTATCAGAGAGACCAAACACAGCTTTTTTAGGCTGCCTAGTGTGATCACAACACAAGGTAAAGTGACGAGAGACAAGGCGGACCACAGACGCTTGGAGCCAATGACCAATGGCCAATGAGCGAGCGCGTCATCGCTGATTGACAGCATTTCTTGAGGTTTCTTGTAGGAGTCACTACGTCTTAGCCATGAGGCACGCCACCCCAATAATAGTTTAGGGCCCGTTTGGAGATGGCCTCCTGCCGTCCATCACGAAATGTCGGTTGGATTACGCCCAGTTTTCGCGAAGTTCGTTTTCAGACCCCTGTCTAAGGTATCTGTCTAAGTGGCCAAAAAGGGGGCGGCGTATTCGCTGTTGGGGCGCGGCTTCGCCGCGAGCTGTGCACTGCACGCAAAAACCGGGGCCGCAAGTCCGTCCAGCCAGGAACAGGGCCGTATAATCAGACACTGAAGCTTAGGAATCACTGGTAGACTGAGAGTCACAATACTTACTCTGTATAAAGATAACTAGAAAACAACCATTAGCAGGGTCTCCAACCCTATGAAGTGTGAACTCCAAATGCGGAATGTTCCCGCGGTGATCAGTAACTAGTGGCGTATTCAGAAAATTGATAGGGGGGGGGCGAAATGTACCTTGGCTGCCCCAGGCAGGCCCGCGTGCCATAGGCATGCCAGTGCTAGGGGGTTCGGGGGGCATGCCCCCCAGAAAATTTTGAAATATTTAAAAGCCATTTTCCTGCATTCTGAGGCATACTGTGGGCCGTGCTCTCCGCAAGCGGCAGTTAGATGCGATATGATATGACTACTAGGCACTTTAATTTAATTTAATTTTTTTTTTTTAGGGTTAGGGTTAGGGTTTAGGTTAGGTTTAGGGTTTAGGTTAAGTTAGGGTTTTTTTTTTTTTTAAGTGCCTAGTAGTCATATCCTAAGTGCCTAGTAGTCATATCATATCGCATCTAACTGCCGGGTGCATATTCTCCTGTCTGATAACACTATCTCAACCCTAGACTCAACCCTACAACCCTTGTCTGATTAGCAGACAAACTACGCGACACCTTGCAGACAGCACCTGTCTGACTAGGCTATTCCATTCACCATAAACATGCCAGATACAAATTGCCTGAAAAAAACAATGTGTCCAAGCGAACAATCAGTGCAAATTTTGTAGTGCAACTGAAATGAGGAATATAACCTTGCCGCTGCAGAATGCGGAAATTAAGCCTAGAGTAATGATTCCGCAGAATGAGGAATGGTTGGAGAACCTGCATTAGACATAATTACAAACCAAAAGTTCATCCCCTCATCACCAAAAACTCCAAACATATCTGTGAATTTTATTTTTTAGGAATTTGAATAAAATTTTAGCCCTTTTTTAGGAATTGCATACATTTTTTAAGTTTTTTTAGGAATTTTAGGGCCGCTGGAAAGCCTGCAATGTCTTAATGTTTCTCTACTCTCTTTCGCCTAGTATTGCCGATAATTCCCTGTAAATGCCGGTCAAATGCTTCTCTGCAACACACAGGTACACCGCACGCACGGCGCACGCCGCTACACATTTACACTTGTAAGTTGTATACATCAAGAGCTCATAATAGAGAAGAGTATGACACAGTTTTAACAGCGATTTGCATAGTTTTCAATTGTAAATATTCTATCAATATGTGAATAAATATATTCAAACTTTACTTTGTTTTCGTCTATGATTCTCTCTTAATTTGACACCACCAATTTACCTAAAAATCGTATGTGTTCTTCAAAAAAGTTCTTTGAATACGACACGGGTTCACACAGTTTTCCAAAATGTTCACATGTATTCGGCGCATGTTGATATGCGGTGGCAGCACCAGGTTGTAACAAGACGCTGGAGGCTGTTGGGGATATTAGGTAAGCACAGTAACAGCCCTGGTTTCGCTTCCTTATCATCAGGAACACGATGGCAACACGGCTAAAATCAGCTGCTAGCTCGCCGTGAGCACACATTTATTTCTAGCACGCTGGAAACGCTACACGCTGAATACAATTCAATGCCTAATATCCCCAACAGCCCCCAGCGTTCTGTCATAGACAATAGAACACTAATCCGATAATAAACTTGCTCCAAATACATGCGAACATTTGGGAAAACTGTGTGAAACCGTGTCGTATTCAAAGAACTTTTTTGAAGGACACATACGATTTTCAGGTAAATTGGTGGTGTCATAACACTGTTAAAACGGTGTCATACTCTTCTCTATTATGAGCTCTTGATATACATATATCGCCGGCATCCAGTAGGCAACTGTTTGAGTGGGGGTGGTAATTTCTCTTGCACGTGCAGCATACTCTACATAAAATAACACCGAGGCAACATGTGAACAGAGTTCACCAAGCCCGGCTTTACAATTACAGTGTGCTGACATGATGCCTGTCCCATATTCTCTCATCGTGACCCATGCCTGGATAGAGAGAATGTATAATCAGAGACTGAGAGTGCATAACACGTGCTCGGATAATGTAGATGGGACTCTCACTGTTCACATGATAGATGTACCACCACTAACCCAACCGCAGAACAGTCGATCGTAGGTATCCAGGCTTTTGTGGTTCTGAATGTCCTTGAGAGTATAAAATGGACTCGGCTAGAATGTTAGGTCGTCAATTCACAAAATCCTAATAAGTTCGTGATGGGCACAAGTTGTGGTCCTTGCTCCATTCTCGTACGGGCGTCGATTCCCAATGCATGCAATTTTCTCGAGATAGCGTGCTTTGTCTACGTTGTCTAGTGAATCAAAGTACTTGTCCATACTATGAACACTTCAGACAGTTGGCAAATGTGCATACACCAGATATTATAAAAAAAAGCTGCATTTGATAGCTATATGCAGTAAAATCGGTGAAATTTCTAAACACTCGCGATGTAAACAAACTCAAGTCCATGATATGTGTAACTGTTGCGTGCAATCTCTCGATCTGCCCAATCTAGCCGACTGTGCGGAAACCTCATCTAACTCTAGCATCCCAACACACGCTAATTAACCTGCATGCAAGGCCCTGCAAAACCGGACCTGTGTAATCTCATTGACATTGAACTCTAGCAGACTAGCACCCCAACCCACGCTGGTAAACCTACCTGCAACACCCTGTAAAACCGGGTCTACACAATCATATATCGAACTCTAGCACCCCAACACCCGCTGGTAAACCTGTCTGCAAAATCGGGATCCACTTACTGCTAATATAGATTACTATAATAACACTATCGTATGTACAATCTATCGATGTAAAATATCTGTTGACTATTTTGAAAACTTACGTCAGACGCAAGTTATTTATATGAAGTGCCAGATAATGCAAACTAGTATTCATACGCCATAGCGCAAATAGTTCTTGGAACGAAAACACTATATTTGTTTCCTGGTTGCATAAGTAATATAGATAACGATATATGATTTAAACAATTTCACAATTTTGTACTGAATAAACATCGAATAATGAATTATAACTTGTTTTATCATAGAAGGGAACTGTTATTGAATCAAGCAGATCGCTCCGCTGTGTCCAGGATGTGTAAACAACAATGCGGTGCTACGTTCGTAAGAGAAGTAATTGCGTTTAGATTTTGAGAAGAAATGTTATGAAAGTAGCAATTGATACAAATGAGTTGTAGTGAATTTTTGCAACATATGCAAGCTCACAGAAAGTCCATGATATGTGTAACTGTTGCGTGCAATCTCTCGATCTGCCCAATCTAGCCGACTGTGCGGAAACCTCATCTAACTCTAGCATCCCAACACACGCTAATAAACCTGCATGCAAGGCCCTGCAAAACCGGACCTGTGTAATCTCATTGACATTGAACTCTAGCAGACTAGCACTCCAACCCACGCTGGTAAACCTACCTGCAACACCCTGTAAAACCGGGTCTACACAATCATATATCGAACTCTAGCCCCCCAACACGCGCTGGTAAACCTGTCTGCAAAATCGGGATCCACTTACTGCTAATATAGATTACTATAATAACACTATCGTATGTACAATCTATCGATGTAAAATCGGTAGATTGCGCATATCGGTAACATGTGTTCGCAATTCTGGGAACCAGTATGGCCGCCGGCACGGGATTGTAGGTAATATTGCTATTTTTAGTGCAAGTCGCGGAACCCTCTATAGACCTACTGTGAGCATGCTTGCAGTGTGCAAACATCACGAAATGTTCTCATTGAGCCAGAAATGTGCTCCAAAGTTGACTATTTTGAAAACTTACGTCAGACGCAAGTTATTTGTATGAAGTGCCAGATAATGCAAACTAGTATCCATACGCCATAGCGCAAATAGTTCTTGGAACGAAAACACTATATTTGTTTCCTGGTTGCATAAGTAATATAGATAACGATATATGATTTAAACAATTTCACAATTTTGTACTGAATAAACATCGAATAATGAATTATAACTTGTTTTATCATAGAAGGGAACTGTTATTGAATCAAGCAGATCGCTCCGCTGTGTCCAGGATGTGTAAACAACAATGCGGTGCTACGTTCGTAAGAGAAGTAATTGCGTTTAGATTTTGAGAAGAAATGTTATGAAAGTAGCAATTGATACAAATGAGTTGTAGTGAATTTTTGCAACATATGCAAGCTCACAGTAGGTATATATGAATTTAGCTACGAGGTTGATCAACTTTAACACACATCACCTAGTAAAACTATTAATTATTACCATTTACCACTAGACTTATTACATTATTACCATTAGAACCATTTACATCAAGTACACACATTCAGACTTAAAATATCAGAGGCCCCACGACTTTAGCAAGTAATGCAGCACACTCAAGAAAGAGAAAATTATTTCTTTTGAAAAAGTATGTATGTAGCTACAGTGAGTACACATTTAGGAAGGCACCAACAAATCAACATCTATAGGAAGTGTGACAGACACATGTGCCAGGTTACCTCTTTCAGTTCGCTTGGAGTTGGCCAATTTGTGATATCACTGAAGTCACTCCCAGCCTAGATAAAAAAAAGTGTACGATAAACGCAGTTTAACCGAGGCTATGTGCAGCACATTTGTTCACCAGCTATATCAGGTCATCATACTTTATTTCCAATGTAGTGGAATGCACCAAGCTACACTCTCTGAATACAAATCACCCTATAAGAATATCACACTTGTTTTGTCTAAAGTTCTGTTGTACAACACTGGTTAAATTGGGCCAATTTAGAAGTTTTCTTACTGTAAATAAATTCAGCATGGTTCAGTGTAATTGGGTGTTCATAGTTTTCTTCAACACATATTATGATCGATAGTTTCTAATAAAAAATAAGCTATGACCCAGGAAGACAAAGTCTTAAAATATATTACATAACACAAATAATTTAAGAATTTTTTTGGCTTTTTTGACATTTGCAGCCAAATTACACCTTTTAAACATTTACAACATTTGAGAAAAATGGACTTGGATCTAGATAATTAAAATTTTAAACTATATTAATATATAGAATATCACACATTATTTGTGCCATATTATTGTGTCTAGATATTTATATCCCTAGCTGCACCTGGCAGTATTAAGTCCATCACAAGGTAACTTCCCACGTGAAAACCAAAAATAGAAATCTTTGCTAAGCTTTGCTTATATTATACAATTAATAGAATATGGTATATCTTGAAGTTACATGGCATATCTGACATAATGATGCTTGACAAGCAACCCGATGTCACTTAGACTATCAGGTGGCAGGAGGTTAAAGCAAATTAAATATTAAAAAGATGATTGCCTTTAAAAACCTCAGTTGCAACAGTTCGCACAAGTAGATGTTTGTAGGTCGACGCATAACTAATTTTCTTCATTGCCAGAGGGTGGAAAACAAATTGTGTTGAAATGTGTGGATATAGAGTACCTTTTTCTTATCACCACCTGCTATCACAACTGTTGGCTGGGGCTGAAGCAGTCCTGCTGTGAAGTGGAAAATGAAGACCTGTACACTAAACTACAGAATATGCTTGCAAGTAGGTAGCTTAAGCGGCCCATACACGCACAATATCATTGACAATAATATTGATGCAATATTATAATTGACAAGAAATTCTGTTGGCCACGAACGGCACAATAATATTGTGCAATATCGTAATTTGTGCTCTGATGCTGAAGGTGAACAGACATGGATCTGCACAATGAGACAATTAGTGGACAATGAGATATTGCACAACCTTCAATAAATATCTAGTACTGGGTTTTGATTCCATCAGAATATTGCGCAAGTAAAAATTTCCCTTCAATATTGCACACTAACGATCAATATTATTGTCAATATTCATTATTGACAATATTATTGTCAATAATATTGTGCGTGTATGGGCCACTTTAGCGATGGCAGGAATTTATTAATATATTAAAAACTATCATTTACAAACCTTAGCAGGTTCAAGTGCTTTCATATCTAGTACAATCTGTTACCAAAATGAATATTGGTGAAAAATGTTTACATCAGTTTATCATCTTTTAGAAGAGAGCAAATTAGGTCACCATGATCCTGAATTTTTACAAAATATTTGAAAAGAATTGGCAAACTTCTCTCTCTATACAATCTGATCTTCCTAAATAAAATATAGTAATAGTTCATTACTTCGTGATAGCTATAAATCTTGGCTAACTACAATAAAAAATGGCTTACCACTGCTACGTATTATACATACTTGCTTTTGAATGCGAGCTAGTCGTCACCGGTACAGAACTTTTCGTAGCTGGAGCAACAGCAGCCACTGGGGCAGCTTTCTGGCTGCTATTAGTCCAGGGGTTTACAGTGGGAAGTGGTGCAGGTTTGAGTTCTTTCTTCTTCTGAGCTTCAACATCTGGGTCTTTGCTGCTTGAGTCACTATCACCCTGTACATTATCACTGCTTTGCTTTTGAACATCACTGGTTTCTGCAGTGGTGGAACTCTCCACGGCCTCCACCCTGGTATTCCTCACCTCAGGAATTGACTTCGCAGTGCCAGAGTCGTCTGCTGCGTCCACAACTGACGACGGCTCCTCCATCGCACTGCCCACAAGGTGCTCTGCAACGTCGGTTGCCATGACCTTGGTAACTAGTGTATCTGAAGAGAGACTCGAGGAGATTGACACTTGCTTCAGTCTCACTTTTTACCAAATCGGTTCTAGGTTGTCCACCTCGCGAAACCAGATCAGCCCACAATTATGCATTTAGATGCATTACAGATTTAACTCTTGAAAATTTGTCTCCTTCCATGTTCAAGAAGTAAATCTGTTTACTGGAAAAACAAAATAACATGGGTAAAGGTTAGGACTATTTACTTACACGGAGGGGTGGGGTCATGAGTGAGTTTTCAACGAGGTCGCGAGATGTAGGCTTAAAAGTAAACGCTTTTTTTAATAACTGAGGAGTCAGCTTGTCAACTTCCCTGTCTGTTCACAAAAGGTCAAATTCGTAAGCAAATATTATGTAGCTTTTCAGAGTCCTAGAGTAGTGGTTGTGAGCTTGGGGGCTTATTGGGTTAAAATGTATATTATCAGTAAAATATACACAGAATTAAATATCATGCACACAAATCTAAATTTCACACATGTATGATTTCTCCAGTGCAAGCAAAAAAATTAACAGCGTGGTATGGTCTGCATTCAAGGAATATAGCTTACATCCACTTTTAGCAATCGCGCGATACTCCAGCTATGTGCGAACATGCAAAGGTTTGAAAACAGTAAATTTTAAAAATTGTCTTTTTTAAATTTTAGTACCCTTATACAAGAACTGGTATGAAATCAAATGTTTTAACAAGGTTTTATTGCCTAGATCGCAGGAAATTACGTTAGGTCACACCATTTTTTCAACAAACTTTTGGGGAGTATTCCCATTGACTCCCTAATAATGGGTCACGTACTACAGTTTGAAAGTAGCAAATGAGCTGAACAGTGACATATTTGTATTGTTTTACTTGTACATAGACATGAATAAAATATATATGACGTGTATGGCAGTTAGTGATGTCACAATCATCGATTATACTCGATCATCGGTTGAACAGTGGCTCGAACCAAGCACTTGGTTATGAAAATCCATAATCGATTTCATCGGATTTTTTTTTTAATTTGAACAAGAAAACTTGGAAAAGTGATGAGAATCAGTACATGTATTATACACACAGTAGTAAACAGTGCAAAACAAACAGTAAACAGGGCTAAACAAGCACATACATGCACACACGTACATGCACACGACGTTACGCACACGGAGGCATTCAACACCCCGAGTAACCGATTGTAACCGATCATCGGTTACTTGGGTCCAACCGATGATCGATTACGAAATTACAACCGATTGACAACACTAATGGCAGTTTATTGGTGCCTAGCAATGTAGCATGCAATAAAATTCGGTTATTCGACCAAAATTGTTTAAAAAAAATTATCCGGGAAGCATACACGATACACCCCACTCCCAAATTGGCTTTCATGTCAATTACGGGGTCAGGTCAGCCAAAGAATTAAAGTACATGGTCATCACCAAAACTCTGGTAATAAACACTTGGTTAGGGCAATATAGACTGTACTTTACTAAAAAAAATGTTTTACTACGAGAAACCTGCACTTTATATACAGCATACAAACTGTGACTTTGAAAGGCAACAATGACAAGGACTTGCAACATGTGTGCAAGTTCTCAGACTCCGAACCGTGAAATCACAAGCCATGATGGCACTACTAATACTATATTAGTTTACATATACCACAGCCAAGTACACTATATATATACTGTATATGAAATGCAAACCCAGGCAGTATGTCAACAGCTGATTAAAGAAGCCTGTGCAACTTACAGCATAGATATTAATTGTGTGCCTTTTCAATATGGATAGACGAGTATTACTCCCACAGCCGACTTATTACATTTATGTGTGAAGGGATCAAAAACCATACTTGTGCAGTTGTCTGTGTCCTTAGCTATACACACGTGACCCTCAAATTAAACTGCGCTACTTAAGAAAGCCATCACAGATTTTACAAATAAATCATGTAAAAATAATAATATGGAGAATAGCAAGATAAGCGGCGTTCACATGAGATTCACGGCCTCGCTGGTTCCGTACTTATCTGGTACTGAATTCGGCTGAAATACCGTGCTAACATAACCAGCAGCGTTCACACGAGAATCGAGGCAATTCTCCGCTAGAGGAAAGTGTTTTTCATGATGGCGGCGCCCATGAAACTCAGTTGTTTGTGGCAGTTTTTCAGTAAAATTACACAAAATGATGATCCAGATGAACATTACGAATGCTTTGGTAATGAAGACAATTATCAAAAGATCAATAGGGATGATTGAACAAAAATTCCCAGGGAAATTCGAAGAAATATTTTCAATGTCATGAGCCGGAAGTGAAAAACGACACTCCGCCGCCTATCAATGTAGCGCACTACAGTTTCACGGCTTACGAGGGCTCGAATTGCGTTCACACGACAGACAATACGCGGCCAGCGTGGTGCCGTTCTTAAAATCACAATATGTGCATCTACATGCAAATTTCTCCAGTACTAGACTAGCGAATACTTGTACTTAGCAAAAATTATCTCTCATCTGATGTGCTAAAAATAAAATATATACTAGCTCACAGGTGGGATATAATATTTTATAATAATTTTGTCACAAAGTCTGGCTAAATTTTTACATTTGTGAAGAACGCTCAATGCTGTTTGTAGTGATCATAAGGGTGGGTACGGTAGTAACGGTACTACGGGTAGATCATGATACAAACCATAGTATGAACCACATTTCACGATACGATACGTATCGCGATACATTTAAGGGAAATTACCTAGCAGACTTTATACTTAAGTACTCTATCACTCACGTCAATGCTTACAAATCAGTATCGTTAAACGCTAATTCATAAAACTCAATTAAAACCAAATTAATACATCTAAATAATATGGATTTTATTGAGTAGAGTATAGCTACGTGTATCGTGAATAGTAAAACATATTGCTATGTGTATCGTCACGGTTTGTACCATGATACGTCGACATATCGATGAATTGTCCCACCCCTAATCATCATCACATGCTTCTACTAGCTGATCGCTGAATTAAGCTCAAAGACAATGCAAGCTGTTTAATAGCAATGATGGCCATTTTTCCAATAACCAAATGCATTCACTGTATTGTTTGATTCATCATATCTAATGATCTGATCTCATATAAAAAAAACTTTGGGTGTAGTAACTTTATTAACACTCGCAAAATGGCCGCCATATTCGCTCGTTACGCTGATGAGACTACGATTTCTCTAAATCCCGGCCCGATTCATAGTAATCTTTTAGTAAAATATTGACTTGATACGAAGACAATAATACAAGGATCCTGTTACTAACATAAAATTTTCTGTCCCGGTATATTCATATCTATATAAAACACTTTGTACACACCTTCTAATGCATTGTTTTTCTCTTCAAATTAAGGCTAATATAATCTATACATATGGCTCCGCCCGCTAAAGAAGTGTTTATGAGCAGAATATATGCAAGCCGAGCCAGACACAACTCCAGTGCATCCTCCCTCCACAACGCAACCTCTATATATGTATCTATGGAAGACTTGACTCCCCTCGAGACTTCACGCAACAAACCAGAGCATGACATGATACAAGATTGCCGTGCGCACAGGCTTTGCCTGGTGATCCTTAAGCACTGCACCGGATGAGCCGCGCAGTTCCGCCGCGATAATGCGCACATGCGACCGCAGGGATGTTCAAGTATTGAAGCGCTGTCCGCAGTTGGAGACGTGCCGCTAATTCGAGGCCGGCACAAGTTCCCCACAGCGGTCAGGGCATGGTCTGTAGTTTTATAAGATGACAATGATTATTATATGAACCGATATTTAGGAAGTTGGAGATTATAAAACAATAACAAAAATCGCTCAGTCTGCCTCCACATTAGGCTGAATCAAAAAAGATTAAAATTTATATGTATGAACAAAACAAATGGTTATAAAATTCACAAACAAATGAAAAGGATAGAGAAGGAAATATTAATAGGCAACCAAGAGAATAAAAAATGCACCAAATAATTCATCCTAGGGCATTTAATTAAATGGTATAATTGAGTTATAACGTATGGCAAAGAGTCCGCGAACTGTAAAAATGTAGGTATTCATGATGAGCAATATTATCATGGCAGAAGAGCCCAAAAATTTATGGAAATACATACTATAGAAGCCAGAGTGAAATTATACGAATGCACAGTTTTACCTTCCTTCCTAAATGGAACAAGTGAAACATGGACTTATATTAAAGAAGAAGTATAAATTGTTGCGAGGATTTCCAAAATTGAGTGCCGCCGCAATTAATAATCACACAGAAAATGCAAAAAAAATCTATCGCAAAAAAACATTGAAGACGATTGGGAAAAACTCCAAGCGAAAGATACGCGAAAATCAGTAAAATAAACATATATAGAGGTTCTATACGTAAATCGTGGAAATACATATAAAACACATTATTTTTGAAAAATCCCCAAGTATTTACTTATAAAACATCAAGAGATGGCGCTTGTGTCATGTAAACCATTGCCGAAATGCAATCGGCTCTCTAGATTGCTACGCCGCGTCGTACAGTTCCATCACGCGTACACTTAGCAGCGTCAGTCGTTCGAAAGTATATACTTGCCGGAGTGAAGGTTGGCCATGGACGGTACCATGTCTAGCATGCCGGCTGGGCATTTCATTATTACAACAAATAAACACGCTTACAGTAGACCAGGCAATGTCACGTCGGTGACGCCCCATTCATGCCCATTCAACGAGGAGACATGGCGGGGCTCCTATTCGATTACGGAGATGCGCAAAATGCAAGGAAAGAAGCCTAGCGCAGGTGGCGCTAAACAGCGTGTTATTCGTATTATATGCCGCTAACTACGTAGGGCAAAAACTGTTCCTAGGCTTAGCAGATGATCTGGAGAATGCCCTAGTTCCTGATCGAGCATCCGGCGCATTCCGTGCTCTAAATCGGTTCGCGGGAAATGGTGCCTAGAAGTTATATAGGAGAGGGCCGGCGGTAGACTGGTGCATTCGCGATACACAAAAGTTGTCAATCCTCGGCGCGGCCTCGATCGCATCATGGCCGCATCACTCAATTAAAGCCAGATGTTACATTGAATTTGCGTGCGCTATCCCAATTTTATTATTTCACTATTGCAGCTATGACTCGAACGGGTGTGGAGGCTGCTGGAGTGATGCTGAGGACAGGTTGTTGGCAGGCTCGATG